CTATCTATCTATCTATCTATCTATATATATATATGTAAATATATATGTATGTATGTATATATATATATATATATATATATATATATATATATATAGATGTGTACATATATATATATATATATATATATATATATATATATATATATGTATGTATGTATGTATGTATATATATGTATATATATACATATATAAGGATGTGTACATATATATATATATATATATATATATATATATATATATATATATGTATGTATGTATGTATGTATGTATGTATGTATACACATATATGCACACACAGACACACACACACACACACACACACACACACATATATATATGTGTGTGTGTGTGTGTGTGTGTGTTACGATATAAATGTTTGTTTTAATTAACAGCGGTAACCTTGTTTTGTGGCAAAGCAGAATTCATAAACAGCAAAGAAGTCAAAGACCTTGCTGATATAACAGTAATTACAGTTATCAGGGATTTCAGATATTACCAAAGAATCTAATATTATGTTTTTTAGGTTTGATAATACGATTCACACCTGTCTGGAAATTCAACATGTTTTCGTTGATTGATATTTCCAAGTTTCCAAGGCGAGAGGGACGCAACAGTCGTTGACTGCGCCTGCCTTTGCGTCAGGTGTTGCTGCTCGAAGGCAAGTGGGTCTCAGGTGATCACTTGTGCTTCATTGCTTGCCTAGCTTATTGACAGGTGTGTTGTGAAAGGGTTGCTTCCTATAATGAATTAGATTCGTTTAACTAGATCACCTTATCATTGCACGTGTTCGAGGCAGATACGAGAAAACGGACGATAACAGTATTGGCAGTTCTTTTCCTTCCTTTTTCACATTTTCTCATATAACCTGGTCGTCCGCTGACCTTACCTGCCCTAATTTCTCGAACTTCTGTTACTGCATTGACACTGCGAACAGCTGAGCTCATGTTTCAGGGTTATCTTGCAGCCGCGCGTCTCATTTCTGGTTGTCTTGCTATTTTAAGGAATACTCAAAGATTAAAATATCATGCAACATGGAGAACTCAACGGAGCTTCCACTATCACGCTACCCCGAGCTCGACGTTTCATCTTACGGACTGAGTGACGGTTAACCTCCACTACTTTCTCTAGGTAACGTCCCCGAGGCCTGTCGCATTATAGGCCTATAGAGCATAACAACTGTGAAACAGTGCTGGGCAGCAATCCTTTGCGAAGGAAAGGGAATATCACGACAAAGTTCTGTGGGAATGTAAAGACAACCTGTGGTGCCAGGGTTCACACCTTTCATTGGGAAATTGGGAAGTGGAAAACCTCATCCACAGACATCCTGCTGTTCCTGGGAAGAGATCCTAGCAGCCATGAAGGAACGCACCGCGCATGTTGTAAACATTCGAAGTTGGCTGGGCTCATTCAATACCAACGTAGTCGCCGTCAAGACGATTAAATCACGTATTGCAAAATTATAAACTTATATCTTTGTAGATTTGCAGTATCTGGAGCGAATAGGCAAAGTATATATATATATATATATATATATATATATATATATATATATATATATATATATTACACACACACACACACACACACACACACACACACACATATATTTATATATATATATATATGTGTGTGTGTGTGTGTGTGTGTGTGTGTGTGTGTGTGTGTGTGTGTGTGTATGTGTGTGTGTGTGTATGATGATGCCTCCAGCCATGTCACCCTGGCCAGCGACCCCTGAGATTGCATTGCTGCTACCTTCCACCATCGCCTGAAAGAGCTGCCCGTTTTCCGGAAGCAAATCTTTACCAGAGGTTCAAGGTCATCAGCCCTCGCCTCCCCCATTTCTATGGGCTTCCTAGAACCCATAAGCCAGCCGTACCTCTGCGCCCTATTACCTCGTCCCGTGTATCTGAGACGCACCCTCTTGCAGCCTGACGAGCGAAGTCTCTCACTTCCCTTCTTGGCACCTCCTCTCCTGCTCGCCTTCGTTACTCTCGAGGCTTCATCTCCCGTGTTCGCGGTGTTTCGCCCGCGACCATGATGAGCTTAGATGTCGACTCCCTGTTCACCAAGGTCCCTCTTGATGACGTCCTTGCTTTCTTTCAGAGGCAGCTCTCTGCCGAGGATCGTCTCGCTCTGCCCACCGACGTCTGAGATCTACTCTCTCCGTCGCCTCCCGCACCTTCTTGACTGTAGACACCTTTTGCCAGGTGAACATTCTCTGTCACACCTTGGTTCACACCTGCCCTTCTTCTACCTTTGCTGTTCCTTATGCCTCTTTTGACAAACATAATTTTGGTGAGAGAGGCGTCAGTCTCACTGTCTGTCTCAACATAAATAGGCTGTTTCCAGGGACCACAATGCCAACGCCCTCTTCTGCCATCAGTGGGACACAGGCCATCAGATAGACCGGTCAGCAGCATGCATTGTCTCCCCTTTCGCTGATGTCCAAGCCCACAGAATGGCGAAATCAACCTTAATCAACCTGATGAACAATTTCAGCTTGAAAAGCGGCTTTTCTCCTGTCGACAGTCTCCTCGCGTCCCACTTTCGTATGCCGGCCACCGCCTCATCCTTCGACCTAACCTGACCTCCCTTTGCTTTCGTTCTCCTGTCTTGACCTGTCCCGTGTTCCCTGCGTTACCTCTCCTTTCGCTCTCTTATATTCCTTCCTGTTCCTTTCCCCTTAAGACCCGAAGATGGATTCAGGAGCATTCCGAAACTTTTCTTACTTATTAAAAAAAATATAGTTTGTGCATTGTGTTTTTACTATAGTATCAACACGATAGTGTTTTTTCATTCATGTAATATATATATATATATATATATATATATATATATATTATATATATATATATATATATATATATTATATATATATATATGCATATGCATGTGTGTGTGTGTGTGTGCGTGTGTCTATGTGTGTGTATACATATATATATATATATATATATATATATATAATATATATATATATATATATATATATATATATATATATGCAAATATATACATATATATGAATATATATATATATATATATATATATATATATATATATATATATATATATATATATATATATATATATATATATATATATATATATATATATATATATGTATGTGTGTGTGTGTGTGATATGAATATATATGCATACATATATGTATGTGTATATATATATATATATATATATATATATATATATATATATATATATATATATATATATCCTGTGTATAATATACAAACATATATATATATATATATATTATATATATATATATATATATATTATATATATAATATATAATATATAATATATATAATATATATATATATATATATATATATATATATATATATATATATATATATATATATATATATATATATATATATATACATATATATACATCGTATAGAATTTGGTGCTGCAGTGCTAGCAGTTGAGCTTAGTGAAGTGGTGCTGGAGGACCTTGATGGAGAAATTGATGTGAAATTTTACACTGACTGTAAAGTAGCTCTTGGCTACATCTACAAGCAAACAAGACGATTTAATGCGTATGTTGAAAAAAGAGTGAACCGCATTCACAAATCAACTAAGCCAGAGCTGTGGAATTATGTTCCTACATCTGGGAATCCAGCTGATCGAGCAACCCACTCTATAGTTAATGATTTCTCGTGTGATGACATGCGGTTGAAAGCAACTGAAACATCCTAAAGCAGTCATCGTGATCTTGCCCAAGAAACTCCACTGCTAATTTAACCAGAAGATGGTAAGGAAGTAAAGCCATATGCTCTGGAAAAGGCAGCCAAAACCTGTAGGATAGACAATTTATCAATTGGGTGTCAGAGCTTTGAAAGGTTCTCTGAGTGGTATCGCCTTGTAAATGCTATTGTTTTGTTGCAGAGCTGTGCATGTGACAAATCATTTAAAGGAAGATCTAAAAGAAGTTATAGTGTTTGATTTATGATCAAAGCAGTTCAAGGAGAAACTTACAGTGAAGTTAGACTTCTTGAAGCAAAAATACAAATTCTTTATCATGGCTCTTAACCCCTACTTAGAGGAAGATTGTGTGTTAAGGGTTGGTGGAAGATTACAACAATCAAGTCTTGGAAATTACTTGAAACATCCAATCATTTGTCTGGTAAAAGCCATATTTCCACTACCAAGGACGCCATCTTACTGAAGAAGCTGTTAGATCTAGCGGATATTGGATTGTGTGAAACGATTAATCTCATCCCGTACAGAAAGCCAAGAGGTCAAGAAAAAATCCAGCTGGTGATCTACCAGCAGATCACTTCGAAGCGACCCCACCCTTTGCCAATGCTGGTGTTGATGCCTTTGGACCTTGGACTATAATGACTCGCAGAACTCTTGGTGTAATAGCAAACTCTAGAGGAAACAGTTTCGTTGGTGCAACAGATAGCCTCAAGATAGATGCAATAGATATGGAGGTGAAGAAGATTGTAGACCATCTGTACCAGACAGACACCAAATGGATCTTCAACGCTCCCCATTCATCACATAAGGGAGGCTATTAGAACGCCTCATTCGAATCTGCCGAAAGATCTTGAAGTTAATGCTAGCTGAAGCCTTTGTCAATATAACCATACACAAAACGCTTATAGCATGTTTCGCCTGTCATATTGACCCGTGCATTTTCATCAAAAGCACATCTAATATTTCGTATCTTCTCTTTTTAATACCCATTATTTGTTCTCTTTTGTTTCATGAGAGGTATACACGTGTAGAGAAAGAGTTGTTGCACCACAGTTCAGCCTCTCCGCCTTTTCGTCCTGCTGAATGTGCATATGTGTGTGAGGGTGAAATATGTGATGGATTGACACTGTGAGAAACACATGTGGTTTCACAATTCTAGCAAATTAAATTAATCCCACATTGGAAAATTTCATCAGTACTTGTACACCTGCGATATCAATGGCAATACTTGATGCTTCGAGACTACGCCTTGACTAGACAGTGTCTTGGAGGCGCAGTTGTCGACAAGCATTAGCACAGGACGCAAGTTCAGAGCACCATGGTTCCGAGGGGCGCCTTTCTGCTGCTGGCGGTGTCGGCGATTTGGCTGAGTGGGTGCGTTCGCCCAGCGGCTTCGGTAGGTCTCATTTCTTCCTTTCATTTTCAGCTGTACTTTTGAGACCAACTTTGTTTTCGTTTATAGTTATTCTATAGCGTAAACGTGTGTGTGACTATTCTGTATATTGTGATCGAAAGTCTACAAAGCCAGTAGAAACACTCTTGTGTTGGAAATGTAGTATTTCAAAGGGAAAGGCAATTTGAGGTTGATATACTAATTCGACTTTGGCAAGTATTCCGAGATTCTCCCAATCAATAGGGGCCATCTCCCCTATAAACGGCCAACAGTGGAAATTTACTTTGTTTATTCTGGAACATATTTGTTTAAAAGTTTTATCGTGCCACGAGCTGTACACAGCAATGTGTTTACAACAACAGCTGCTTGGCATTTACGCCATGTGATTGGTCAAGATCCCTAAGAGCCGCCTGAAATGGCAGCTGTGATTGGCCACCGAAGATCCGACACCTTAAGTGATTTTCGGCGCTGTGGGACTAAAGGCAGGGACAAGGCGCCTTAAAAATAACGTTTGTGCATACGAAGCTAAGTCCGAGATACGGGGCCGTAACTTAGGTCGCCTCAGGACGGTTAAGGCCTCCAACGCGCCTTAACTTTTAAGGCTCTTTTGAGAATCTGGCCCCAGATTGCGAAATACGTTAAAACAATGACTACCGCTACTCGCTTTACCTATTAGAGATCTGCACCGAATTGTGTTAAAGTCACTCTTCTAGCAAATGCTCGATCTGATAAGGAATCCCAGGAATATTCACCGTACTGCATAAATGATTCGCATCAAATTGTCAAAAATCAATGTACTTTTATTTCAAGAATATTATATGCTAGATATGGATTGAAAAAAGAAATGCCTTGTCTCGCCGATAATTTGCTGCTCCCAAGGAAGATAAGCCCGTATTACTTTTATGTATAAAGATGGAATCTCGCTCATTTTCTTCAGAGAAGCAGTGACAAGTGCTTATTTGTGACACATTTTAAAACTTTCTAGCTTTTTCATACTGAAGTGAGAAACGTACCTGATATTTGTGTTTGGGGGGGGGGATGTGGATGGGGGGAAGGGCAAATCCTAAACTCTAGAGGTTCACAACATGGATCGAAAAAAGTTCCATGGACAAGGACGAACCACTTGTTTTCTAAGGAAAATGATCCGTGCCTCATATCCATTGCCTTGTACCATATAAGGCTATGTCGTTCCTCTTCTTTTCTGATCGCAAATTAAAAATTTTCACCCCCGTAATTATTAAGAAAGTAATAGCAACAACAAATAGTACTCATAATCATAATCATAAACACATTAATTATAATAGTGATAATCATCGATATCATAATCACATGATAATGATAGCTATCAATAACAACAATAACAATAATGATAAGAGTACAACGAATAATACCCGATCTCTGTACAGCAGAATATGTCCTTACGAAACTCCAATAAAAATCGCACGCCAGGTGTAAAATAAATTTAGATTATTATGAAAACCAACTCCATGGCAGCCGGTTATTATCGGTGCGAACTGAGAAGGATGGAATGGTTTTGTATTCTCTTGAAATTGATCTAACCATTCTTGGTTCTTGGCGTTTTAGTCATTTTAACTTTGCCAATAATGTTTGATAATGTGTGTGTGTGTGTGTATATATATATATATATATATATATATATATATATATATATATATATATATATATGTGTGTGTGTGTGTGTGTGTGTGTGTGTGTGTGTGGTGTGTGTGTGTGTATATATATATATATATATATATATATATATATATATATATATATATATATATATACACCTCTCTTTATATAAGTGTGTGTTACATATATATATATATATATATATATATATATATATATATATATATATATATATATACATAAATTTTTTGTGTGTCCATGCGTCGAGGGCCCATTCTAAACATAACCGCATGTTCCCGCTCGATATACTGGTGAAGTACCTCAGGGTTAACAGAGGCGCGAGACCCGAGGCCCAGACACCACGCCGTCCGCCCTTGCCTTGAAGGCCGGAGTGCCATGTCTCGCCATCAATGCGCGAGCGAGCGTCGTGATGGCAGGTGGGCGAAGTGATTCAGCGTGACTGATCTAGCAGCCCTAGTGTTGACCTGCGCGAGCTCCTCTGTGTTGTGCCCAGCAGCCTTACAATCATTCTTGGTCACACACACACACACACATATATGTATATATATATACAGTAAGAAAGCAGAGGCGGGGCTTCCATGGTGCACGGCGGGACACCCCCCCATGCAATCTGATTGGTCCCCCCCCCCCCTATGTTCACTGACTCGTCGTAATGGCCCCCTGTATATATAATCTGGCGGCCCCCCCCAGATTTCTTGTTGTTACCCCCGGTTCCCCCACCAGA